CATTTAATTTTGCATATATTTATGTCTCTAATACTAGCTCGAACCCTAACCCAAACTAATAATAATTTTAATTTTTTTTTAAATATATATTAACCTGCGATATCACAACCTGCTAAATTTAACAAATTCTAATAATAATTATAATTAATCTAAATAAGTATATTAAATTTAGTATTTTTAAAATTATAAAAATTATTAAATTAAAAAATTTTTTTAAAAAAATTTATTATTAATATAACAAATATTACTAAATAATTTTTGTTACTTATTATATAAAAAATTAATTTCTTAATTTTTTTAGATTTTTTATAATTTAAAAGTATAATACAAAAGTCTTCATTTTATCTATTAATTAAACAATTTACAATTTTTATTTTTATACTTTTTAAAATAAATATGCCAAAAAAAACAAAGCAAGTTAAACATTATAGTTAGTGAAATCATTTAAAAAAATTTATAAAACTATTAAAAAAATTAATAATGAAGATTTAATTAATACAAATATTACAGATTTTACAACTATTAATAATACAAATAATATATTATCTATATCAATTGCTACTCAACCTGAAAATCTTGTTAATAGAATTGCTACTCAAACTAAAAATCTTGTTAATACAATTGCTACTTAGACTAAAAAATCCTGTTAATACAATTGCTACTCAGACTGAAAATCTTGTTAATACAATTGCTATACAAACTGAATCTAATGTTAATACAGTTGCTACTCAAACTAAAAATTTTGTTAATACAATTGCTACACAAACTGAATTTAATATTAATATAGTTTCTACTCAAACTGAAAATTTTAGTAATACAATTGTTATACAAACTAAATCTACTATTAATACAGTTGTTACTCAAACTGAAATTATTATTATACAATCTAATGAAATTCAAATAGAGCAAACAAATAAAGTAAATTCAAAAGTTTAATTACTTGATCTATTTAATCAAATTACTCAAACACTTACTTATAACCAAAAGTATAATCTAAATTTATTACAAATTTAACAAAAAATTTTAAATTATATTATAAAAGCAGATTATAATGAATTATTATTAGCTTTTTTTTTAATACAAACTATATGATATAAAAAAGGTTAAAATACTGGTAAGCTTTTTTCAAAATATTTACAACAAAAAGTAGCAAATTATATAGAAAATTCATTTTATCAAACAGAACATGATATTAATAAATGTAATACTACAATAAAATCTTTAATAAATCAAATAAATAATTTAACACATCAATTAAATATAATTAAAAATGAAAATAAATCATTAAATAGTAAAATTGGTCAATTTAAACAAATTTAAAAACAGCAAATATTAAAAATTAAAAATTATACTAAAGAAGAATTAAAAACTGCAATTAAGCAACAATTAATAGAAAATAAATATCAATATACAACAAAAACAATACAAATAGTAACAAAAGTTTGTCAAATTGGTAAAATGTCATATAGATCTGCTGTAGAATATACTAAAGCAGTAGTTGAATAGCTTATAAATAAAGAACCTGATAAATAGATTTCAGTAAGAACTCTTATTGGATAGCATAGAGATGTTGCAAAATTTTATTCCAATCAACAATCTAATATAATTGAAAATTCTAAATTTTCAGCTTATGGAATAATGGCTAATGAATCTAAACGAGGTGATAGTAAAATTTTTTTAATATATTTTATTTATTGGAATTTAAATACAAATATGCTACAAGCAACTTTATTAAAAATGAATGATTTATTAAATTGTAGTAGATCTACTATTGCTAATATAGTTGTTAAAACTTGTAATACTTATAAAATAAATCTTAAAAACTATTTTATTTGGATAACTGATAATACTGCATATATGTCAGGTTATAAAGGTAATATTGTTATATTATTTAATAATAAAACATTATCAAATTCATTTCGAATATCATGTGGTATATATTCAGCATATATTATAATAACTTATTTTAAAAATTCTGCATTTGGCAAATTAGATGTTAGTACTAGATATTCTAATCAAAAATATTTATTTAACTTGCTTTATTTAATTTGGCAACTTCATAATAGATATAATGAAAATAAAAAAGAAAATCTAATGAATATGAAAGCTTTTTATATATCAAATCTGTATAAAAAACTTATTAGATTACAATATACTAAATTTTAAAAACCTCTTAGACAACACTAGTTATATGAATTACATGAAGCATGACAATTAGTTAAAAGATGAGAATCTATAGAAATATTTACAAAATGGTTTATAGAAAAACTTAAAACTTTTAACAATTCATCTAAACAATATATTTCAAAATAGAATTATTAGATAATTCAGTCAGGGATTTTACCAAATATGGAAATCGATTCTGGAATAATCTGCAAAAATTTGATTGACCGTTGATCGACACTTTTTTATCATTTTTTGATTTTTAGCCGTCAAGTCGAGACTTCTAGTAATAACTATAGGATTAAAAGTTATACAAAGCAAGAATAGAGAACCTTTAGTTTCAGGATCAGTTAATAATACTTTGGGATCAACTCTTTTTAAAAATGTATATGAAGCCTGAAAATTCAAGAGCTTTAACGTCAAATTTTCTTGTTAAAGCTAACTTTAACTCTTTTCTTTAATATTTTGTACTAAAATCAACTACGATATCACAACTTTCAAGACCAAAAGCCTTTGAACTTCCTTGCGTATTTAGCGAACTAGTTGATAGTTATAAGAAAATCGGCCTAAGTGTTTGTAAAACGTCTGCGTCACAAATCTGGAGACATGCTGATAGTAAGGTAGCAGTTAGTCAGCTTCCATTATTTCACGTTTTTATGCCTGAACTCGTAGATCTTCAACCAAATTTAAGTTTCTACTCGATCTCCAAATACACTACAATCAAATTGTCGCTAAAGACCATTTTTACCAGCGTCTATTAAATAATTCATCTAGTCCATCTTCTAGTCACAAAGACAAAAAATCTCGAACCGACACTAATTTTAATAACGATTTTATTTCTGATTCTCTTCCTAATTCCTTTTCTAATTCTATGTCTAATTCTATTTCTAATTCTAGGATTCATAATGAGTCACATTTACGTGTAGAGTTTGAAAGAACTGAAAATCAAATGGAAAGTCAAGAAAAAAGCGAAGATGTAACGAATCTCGCTAACGTGATTACAGAATTATTGGTACGAATAGAAACTCAAAACAGGGAAATAGTAGAATTAAAAAAACAATTAACCGAATATTGTGAAGAGATAGTTAGATTAAGGGATTTATACCAAAAA